CAATCCTTATTCTCCATTTCTGATTCGTTTTGCCTCAGGTCGGCAAGAGGTCCCAGACCACACATCGCCCATCTCCGAGATAAAACACAGTTGTTACAACAGAAAGCTGGATGTCGTGGCAACGTCAAACTGTTTTCCCCCCCCCCCCCCAATCCTTATTCTCCATTTCTGATTCGTTTTGCCTCAGGTCGGCAAGAGGTCCCAGACCACACATCGCCCATCTCCGAGATAAAACACAGTTGTTTCAGCAAATAACTTGAAAGATAGAGAAACCCAGAGGCAGATTTCATGTTTCAATCTAATACAGAGGCTTCGAAATTTCTATAGCAGAGATTAAGTACTTTTAAAAGATACTAAGGTATCTTATCCCCCAAATACTTTCAATCCAAGAGAAAAAAGGTGCTATTAATGTCTGAAATTTTAAAGTGATGTTGATTGGTGAGTTATCTGGGACTTTTTGGGCCCCAGATTATAAAAGGCAGATTCTATCCTTGTCAAAATGTTGGTAGGGGATAAAGAAATCTTGCTGTGAGGAGGTGAAGAACATGTGGTGAGGGGTTCCTTTTTAGGCAGTGGGCTCAGCTAGGTGCTGTGTGACTATGGGCAAGCTACTTAACCTTTCTGAGCAGTTTATTCTTCAGTAAGAGGGGAAACATGTGCCTCAGTTATAGAGTTTGCCTTCAGAGGATATTTGGCAAACACCTGGGGACATAGGACTGTGGTGATCCTGCGTGCACACATGGGTGTGATAGTGGCAGCTGTCAGGCAGAGGGCAGGGATGCCACTAAACATCCTGTGTTGCATAGGACAAGCACCCACAAGAACGAACCCCAGGGCCCCCCACGTCTCAGCGCCAGGGCTGAGAAAGCCTCCACTAGTCCTGTTCTTGGAGCTTTCCCCCCAGTGTAATCCTGACATCACCTAGGTCAGAGTCACCTAAATCACGGTGTGAAGTTGCTTCCCAGGACTTACCCCAGACCTGCTGACGACTTGGAGTGGGAGGGCGTAGATCCCAGGGACCTGCATTTATTTGTTTATTTGAGACAGAGTCTCTTGCTAGGCGATTCTGTCACACTACTCTAAACCCTTGCTACTCAAAAGGTGTTCCCCAGGGCCCCAGCATCACCTGGGAGCTTGTTGGAAACGCAGTCTCCCGGCTGAGCGCCGTAGCTCACACCTGTAATCCTAGCACTCTGGGAGGCTGATGGGTTGCCTGAGTTCAGGAGTTTGAGACCAGCCTGAACAAGAGCGAGACCTCGTCTCTAAAAAATAGTTGGGTATTGTGTTGGGCACCTGTAGTCCCAGCTAGTAGAGAAGCTGAGGCAACAGGATTGCTTGAGCACAAGAGTTTGAGATTTCTGTGAGCTATGACAACATGGCACTCTACCCAGGGGTGACAAAGTGAGACCGTCTCAATAAAAAAAAAGAGAAAGAAATGCAGAGTCTCAGGCCTCACCCCAGACCTGCAGAATCAATCTGCTTTCACAAGATCCCCAGATGATTCCTGAGCACAACCCACAGCCAGTGGTTCTCAGCCATGAATGTACATCAGAATCACCCAGATGGCTTAAGGCCTGGGTCCCCATGTAGAGTTACTTCAGTAGGCAAGTGGGCTGGGTCCTCCCATGGAGTTATATTTTAGCAGGTCTGGGGTAGAGCCAGTGATTTTCCACCTTTTTTTGGAGACAAAGTCTCTCTATGTTGCCCTAGGTGGAGCGCCGTGCCATCATCATACTTTACAACAACCTGAAACTCTTAGGCTCAAGCAATCCTCTTGCCTCAGCCTACTGAGTAGCTGGGACTACAGGTGCCCACCACTATGCCCAGCTAATTTTTCTATTTTTAGTAGAGACCAGGTCTTGCTCTTGCTCAGGCTGGTCTCGAACTCCTGAGCTCAAGCAATCCACCTGCCGCAGCCTCCCAGCATGTTGGGATTAGGGGTGCGAGCCTCTGCGCCTGGTTGATTTTTCACTTCTTTTTTTTTTTTTTTTTTTTTTTTTTGAGACAGAGCCTCAAGCTATCCCGCTGGGTAGAGTGCCGTGGCATTACAGCTCACAGCAACCTCCAACTCCTGGGCTCAAGCGAGTCTCCTGCCTCCGCCTCCCAAGTAGCTGGGACCA